GGCGAAGTGGCCACGTTTTGCTGCTTGAGATGTCCACATCTCACAGTGGATTGACAGGTTTGAGTCCTGGCTATTCTGATTTTGATTCTGCTTCCTGCTAATGGTAGGATGCAGCAGGTGCCACTAATTTAAGTGGTTGGATGTCTGTCACCTTTGCAGAAAAACAGGATGAAATTCCCAGCTCCTGGCTGTTGGCTGGCATTTGCAAATTGAAGATCTCTTTCTCTGCCTTTGCAATAAAAGGAAAATAATTAAGAAGTCAGCCTATTGACCCATCAATTGTATAAAAACTCTTGCAACTTAAAACTTGGCAACATAATTTTGACTTTTGATATCAATACATTCTCATGTTACATCAGCATACCTGCTTTTGATATCCATCCACACCATTTGTTACTTGCTGTTGAATAGTGTTCCATGGCATGAGTATGATGCAATCTGTCCATTCTCTAGATGATAGGCTATCTCTCCTTCAGCTATGATAACCAAAGCTACAATGAACAGCTTGACATAGTTCTTCAAGGGGAAGAATGAATGTAGTTCATCAAATCTGTGGGTAAATGAATTAAGACAAATTTGGAGCCTATGCAGTGGTGCATCAGGCTAATCCTCTGCTTGTAAGTGCTGGCATTCCATATGGGCACCAGTTCAAGTCCCGGATGATCCACTTCTGATCCAGCTCCCTGATAATGGCCTGGGAAAGCAACTCAAGTACTCCTGAACTCACATGGGAGAACTGGAAGAAGCTCCTGACTTTGGAGTGGCTCAGCTCTGGCTGTTGTGGCAATTTGCAGAGTGATCCAGGGGAAGAAAGATCTCGGTGTCTCTCTTTCTCTCTGTAAATCTGCCTTTTAAATAAAAATTAAAAAGTTTTTTTTTTTTTAAAAAAAAAGACATGGTGCAAAAACTTTAACATACATGTATAGTTCTTGGTAACATGTATCTTCCCTGAACTTTTTAAAGAACCTATGTTTGTTATCATTTATCTTAGATAAAAAAGAAGTGGGATTTCAGGGTTATAGGTTTTTAATATATATTTTTAAAATGATTAAAGGGAATTTCATAAATACTGCTTTAAAAGTAGGATTCTTCTTACTCTCCTATCCCTTAGTTTTTTTTTTTTCTTACAATGATGTACTTTCCGTTTAAAGTCATAAGCTTCATCCTCTACTACATGCAGAATTCAACAAGTAGTAGGTATAAAAACCACAGTTCCAGAATATGGACAGGATGTATAAACAATTATCAAACCTCAAAATGCCAATTTTGTTAACTGCGTAAGACTGCCAAAATATTTTCTGAAGTGGCTGTACCATCTTCAATTTCTACCAGCACTGTATAAAAAAAGTTGTGATTGCTTTGTATCCAATGGTCAGCCTTGGGTTTCACTGAGTCTTCAGTGTCAGTGATTCTACTGGGCATGCCCCCGCTGATTTCATGTTGTGGTTTTTGACTTTTCCTGGCGGCTGGCCAGTGGTGCTGATGTTAAATATCTTCTCATGTACTTATCTCCTACTCATGCGCCTTATTAGGTGAAGTATCTAAAAATTTCCCCCACATAAAAAATATTATCTTCTTTTGATTACAATCCTAACAGTTTTTAAAAAATATTCAACACAAACATATTTTAATAGTGTTGAACATTTGGACATTTTATATAAATGCATTGAAGAATATGGAGTCTTTTGTGATTGGTTTCCTGCAGTTGGCATATTTTTTCTCGGGTTAACCCACATTGTAGCATATATCAAAATCTCATTCTTCATAAGGCTGATATTCTATTATATGGATACACCACATTTTGCTTATCTATTCAATTGTTGGATAGTTGCATTGATTCCAGTTGGGACCTTTTATAAATACAACTGATTTTTTTGGTTTGTTTTTTTGAATTTTGCTTGAGTATATATACACATTTACAAATATTTTCTCCCAATGTTTTAATTTTCTTAATGGTATCTTCTGAAAAGGTTGAAATTTTGATGGAGCCCAATCCATCAGTTCTTTCATTTTATGATCCAGGCTTTTTACGTCTAAGCAATTTTTGCCTAATCTTTAGCAACAAATACTATGTTTTTTGATACAAGGCTTAGATTTTTAGCACTCAAATTCAGGCTTACAATCCATTTTGTATCCATTTTTATGTATGGTTGGACTTTAGAATAAAGTTCATTTTCCTGCCTATGGGTAAGTAGTATTGGCATCAATTTTTGACAACTGTTTCCCTTTTGCATTAGGTGTGGTACCTTTGGTAAAAATGAACTGTGCACATGTAGGTCCTTTCTCAATCCCACATCTTGTTTTCTTGATCTGTACATTTATTCTCATTCCAAACGTAACTTCGTCCTGACTACAGTAGCTTTCTAACTCTATAAACCAGATATTCCTCTAATTTTTTTTCCTATTTTAAGACTATTTTGCCTACTTCAAGTCTTTTGTAAGTGAAAAGACAGTTTCTGGGAGCAGGTAGTGGGGATTTTGATTGGAATTGCATTGAATCAATTCATGATGTTAAGTTTTCTGATCCATGAAATGGAATGTTTCCCCATTTTCTTTGCATGTTCCATAGTTTCCACTGCGTAGTTTTGACTACATTTTGTAAAATTATCCTTAAGTATTTCATGTGTTATAGTATTGTACATTATGTAGACTAGGATTGATTTTTGTGTAATCAACTTGTATCCCATGACCTTGCATCCATCTCTTCTGGGTGCTCATTGTAAAATCCTCATTTGCCACACACAAACACGCTGCCTGCAAGTTAAAGACATTCTTTTGTCTCTTTTCTCAATCTGTAGCCCTTTCTCATGTTACAATGGGTGGGTGCTTCAACGTAATTTTAAACAGAAGTGGGACAGCTGACACTCCTGCCTTGTTTCTAGTTTCAGGAGGGAAGTGTTTGCTCTTTCACACTGAAAGCTATAGGATTTTTGTAGATTCTCCTGGTCATGCTGAGGAAATCCCCTTCTATTCTCAGATAATGAGAACTTTTATGACTCAATGTTGAAGTTTTCTAGATGTGTCTTTTGTATTACTGATTCATTTATTCAGTAAATAATGTCACTTACACTAATCGCTTTGCAGTTTGCAATCCTGGGATAAATATCCCTTATCTTCATGTGCTTGTTTTCTTGATAATACCGTTCAAATAGACCCCTGGGCATTTTAAGAATTTTTGGATCCATGTTTATGAGACACTGATGTAGATTTTTGTTTTCATTTTGGTAGTGTCAGTCATTGCCTTGGTACCAGCTTAGTCTTGGCCTCAGTTTGAAGCCACTGCTCTCTGCTTACCTCTTTTCCGGATGATCTTTTGCAAACGTTTAGCAGGAATCACTAGGAAAGCCATTTGGATTAGAGATTCTTTTTTTGTGTGTATGTGTGGTAACATTTCAAGCTAGACTTTATTTTGTAGTGGATTATTCAGGCTACACACTCCTTCTTGGATGGGTTTTGGAAGCTTGGATATTTGTGAGACTTGTGTCATTTTCAGCTGAAACAGTTATGGGAATGTTAACGATCTCCTTCCTATCCTACTTAGTAGCTTTTGTAAGGATGTCTCACTGATACCGGTCATTCATGCCTGTTTTCTTCATTTATCGGGCCCCGGAGGGTTTGTCAACTTAATAAATCTTTTAAAATTCAATTATGATTTAGTCTGATTACTCTATCTTCTGTTTTCTATCTTATCTATCCTTTCTTAGGCTCCCCTCCTGCTTGTTCCTGATTTTTCTTTTTTCTAGTTCCTTAAGGTAGAAGCTTAGATGATAGAACTTTTTTCTTAGATGATAGAACATTTTATCATGCTATACATTTTATTTAGCTATAGGTTAGTTACTAAAGTTATGATATGTTGCATTTTCACTTATTTCATCTTATCATTCATAAACAACTTAACATAGCTTAATATATTAACTTAATATAACTTGACGCAATTTCCTCCTTTTCCAGTAATTTGGAGGATTTTTCCAGCTATTGTTACTGAATCTCAGTCAGAGCAAACACTTTGCAACCCTTATTGTATGCTGAAGAGCTGTACGATGCCCCCAGCGTGGCTTCTCATCATGAAGGTCTCACGTGTTGTTCTATTGAACACAAGATGGTTTGTTCGTTAGGGCACAGGAGCTTCGACTTGTTTTTGCTGCTGATTGCAGGCTGGGCTATTCCAAAACAAAATTCACACACTTTGCTAATATTCTTGCTTTGAGATTAACAGGTGATATCTAATTTTATATTTTCTTGTCAGCTTAATCACCGCATTTCAGTGGTTCCCATTTCAAGACTACATTTGGATTCACACAGAGATCTAAAAGCCTTGTGTCTTCACTCCCCTTGCTTTTCCATCACCCTTTGAAATGGAGACATGGTGGGATTTGGGCAGGTTTTCTATTTGTATCTTTCAGCCTTATGTGTAAATGCATTATGAAGTGAGATGTGATTTAGGCCAGTAAAAAGTATGGAGCTAGACATCAGAGAGGCTTATCGCCAAGTCTTCATTCTCTTCCCTAATATGTTTGGTTTTCATTTGTTACTGTTAGGGCTTTTACGGAGTTCTTGGCAATTGTAGTGTAGCTGGTATGCTTGACATGATGAAATCATCCATTTCTGGTGGAACTCACGTTGTAGGTTTTAAGAGGATCTTGGAAAAGTCTGCATTTTTTTTTTAAACTTCTGATAATGCCTAGGATTCCTCTGTCAGACATTTATCCATATGTCTCCAGTTCATTCCTCTTTGAGCCTGATACTGCATTGATTGCTGGGTGGTTTCCTCTTCATCCCACGTGTTTATTGGACAGTCGCTCTCAGTATTTGAGGAAGGCAGGCAACAGGCCAAGAATGAACACTTGGAGAGGGAAGCCAGTCTTTGAATAAAGCAGGTCTACCAGGACTGGTCCTTCTGGAGGTAGTAACATCTGTAAGCCTTGATGGCCTGTGGCAAGCACCATGAGTTAGGTACTAAGGAGACACCTTGAAATAAACTCTCAACAAAAGTAAGGAAGTAAGAAAGGAAGGATCATTTATTATAGCTATTTTGCCTAGTTTCATTAAGACTTGAGTAAGAAAAAATCATTCCATTCCTGGAGTCACTTTACATATATATTCTGGGATTAGAAGCAAAAAGAAAGTAATGGAAGCATAGCTGAGCTCCATAAACATGCAAATTATAACTTTATTCAACATTTGTCGGTTATAACAGCCAGTGCCCAGGCATCTGCTATGCAGCGGGGGTATAAGAGCAACCACAGCAGCCATAGTTCCCATTTCTGGAGAAGGAACATGAGAGGTGCGGGGAGCTGTGGGGCACAGAGGTGGGCATTCAGACCTGGCTTCCCTGAAGTGCCCCGAAGGGTGAGCAGTCCCGGGCTTGAGAGAAGGCTAGAGGGTAAGGGTGCAGGAAGAAGGAATGACCCCTGAGGAGGCCTGCCCTGGTCAGCTCTGACCTCTCCAGAAACATACAGCCACAAGAAAACCCGCCAGGGAGTGGTGAGTGTCTCGAACATTCAGTGTCACCCACAGCGCAGCTTGGGATGGATCAAGTGCAGATGACAGTGCCACACCCTATTTCACAGAGCTTTCCAAAGGAAAATTTGATAATGAGTAAAAGAATGACAGCAGGTCAGGCTTGTTGATGCATTTTATTGTGAGATGGGGGAATCTGGTAAAAAACTAGAAAATGACCATGGTGTGACAAGGAACTTAAAAATGAAGAGTCAGATTTGTAACTTACATACATGAGTACAGGAACAAATTGGCACAAAATGTTAAACATTGTTCCCAACACTGTTTATATAAGGTAATCCTAATTTGGCTTACTAAGGAAATGAGAGGTTTACGGTTAGGCTAATCTCTTAATAAAACTGTAGAGGCTCATGCTATTAGTCACACAGTGAATTTCAAAATTTAAGAGTTTTATATTAAAAACTGGGAAAAGGTAAAATGACTTGATTGTAGTTGTAAAACTAATACATTCCCATTTAAATTCTGTTCTACAGTCCAAGGCAAGTATAAATGTTAACAGAACACTGTTAAATCAAATCTCAATGCAAGACAACCAATTGCATCTCTACTTTAAATCTTATCAGCTTTCCAAATTTTCATACTAAAATATATTATTGTATTAATACAAACTACAGTATTATACACTACACTGTGTAATAAATAAAGAAATATAAAAATAAGACACATAAATATAAAAGTTTTCTAAAACTAAAAGTACATATGTCAGTAAGAAGGGTATTAATACTGCCAGGTTTGAAGACATACAGTACAAAAATGTTGCACAGAGCTATAAACTAAAAGAAATAAAATAATACTGATAGGTAAAAACCAGCTAATGTTGTTAATAAACTGGGTCCATAATAACTAACATTTGGAAACAGTTATGAGCCAAATAACAATGGCATGTCCATGTCTGAAATGCAAGTACATGGATAAAGCAGATTAGAAAATTTCCCTTTCGTTCATGTTAGAGAAATCGTGGAAGTCAATTAACGCAGAATGAATACTGAGGAATTAAAGGATGAAATGTCCCAGTGTTTCGGTTTCTCTGACAGAGTCAGTGGTTTTAAGCTTTATTTGGGAATTCTGATGCAGCAAACAAGTCAACAAATGCTAGTTATTGTAGGCCACGCGCTGAGGGCAGGCGGGGAGAGCCTGGAGAACGCTGAGAAATGGCACTGAGAGCACACAGGTCTTGCTTAAGGCCAAAGGAGACGCACAGCTGCGTCTCGTATCCTTCAACTCGGTGACCACAAACGCAAACACAATGACAAACACTGATTCTGACGACTTCCCTGGCCGCACCAGCGGTAACACGGTTAGTCCCTGCAGTCACGACTCCGCGACCGTCTCCTCAACTCCATCTGCAATCACGTAAGAAACTTTAGTTCTTCTACCGGCTGCTTTCTTAAGGCTAACAATACACTTTAAAAGATAATATGCTCTACTACGACATCTAAGTATTAGAAATCACTACCTTCTAGATTGAATTTATCAAAGGTAGTTCGCATGGTTTGGAATTGCATTATACTTCTCGGTGAAGGGAATTTTGTAGTGCAGAAGTTCTCACATTTTAAAAAAAACATAATAAAATACTGAAGCGGATTTAGCATATGTTTACCAATATAAAATTATAAAATTTCTCCCAATTGTACAGCTTAAGAATAAACCAACATAAGTGATAATTAATACTGATAAAATGAAACAACGCCAGATGCTTATCTAATTAATCAGTTTCCTTTAACCTGTTACATCTTTGCTTTCTGAGTCATTAAAGTTTTCTAATCTGCTTCATTTTTACAAACTTGTTCTTAACTTTGAAAACTGCATGAAAAATTACTAGGTCTGAGGTTCAGGCACACCCGGATATTTTTTTTTGTGTGTTTTTTTGTGGGTTTTTTTTTTGTATATATTTTTTTTTGTTGCTGTTTTTACTTTACACAGTAGTGAACAGGAATCACAGTAGACAGGCCACTGTGCTTCCATGAAAAGCATGGATAATACAGAACAAACTTCATTACCGCTTAGAATTTATTTTCCTTCTAGAAAAACTACTAGGCTTCGTTCGTTCTCTCTTCGGACACTTGCTCGCTACCCTCGCTCACTTTTTGTTCGAAGCCGCCTGCTTCACTCACAGCCCCGGCCTCCTCCCTTGGACCTTCAGTTTTTGCTTCTTCTCCCTCATTCTCTGCCTCTTCCACTTCTTCCTCTTCCACATCCTCTTCCTCCTCCTCCTCTTCCTCATCCCCTCGCGGTTTCTCACATTCCTTTGCATCCTGTAATTCCTCCATCTCCTTGTCTTCCTCCTCTTCTTCCTCTTTGTCGCTCTCTTCCTCCTCCTCCCTCGTCAGACTCTCCCTCTCATCAGAGTCGGCCTGGGAGGGCGAGGCAGGGGCCCCGACGGGCTCACTCCTTAGGGCGTCCGGCCCCGCCTCCTCCGGCTCGGCGCTCTCGCGCCCTTCCGCCTCCCTCTTGCAGTACGAGTAGCGGTGGTTCATGTGCTGAGAGTAGGACCCGGAGTGCGAGAAACGCTTTCCGCATTTGTCACATTGATAGGGCTTCTCTCCAGAGTGCAGTCGCATGTGTTCAATCAAATGATGTTTGTGTTTAAAGGCCTTTTTACAGATCCCACACTCGTGAGGTCTTTTGCCTGCAAGATAAGAACACAACTATGGCATAAAATGTGGGAAACCCCACACAAGGCTTCTGGGGCAGGTTGTGGATGGAGTTAGGATGGTACGGTAACAGGTCCTAAACTCCCTGCACTATGGTACAGTAATACTGCTCGTCACACCAGAACCTGCTCTGAGGACCACGGGGTGGGAGCTGCCAGAGTTGAAATGCAAGTATACTGCCATGACCCCACCAGGAGACACAGTAAGACCAGCTGTAGCACCTGCGGGGAGGGCAGCCCACAGGGGGCACTTCTCAAGAGGCTTTGATGTCACTGCCCCTCCCACTTTCAGGATCAACTGTCTTCACAACCCGTGTCCCCAGAGAAACAGTATTGCCTCATATGTACCTTTTATGAGTGCTCACATTCCCACAGGTCCACAGGTTCAGGCCCTGAGTCCCTTTGGAAGCCCACAGTGCACCACAAGATCTCAGGGTTTCTGTGCTCTGAGGAAATCTGTCCTGGCCCTCATGAGCATGTGTGGCTTTGAGAAATGGTGCTGCCGGCAGCGAGCTGTGCTCAGGCCCCTAATGGCTCATCTCAGTGCGGTCAAGGAGTTAACACTAGCACATACAGATTTTTTTTTTTAAAACTTTAAAGGCTAGCTAGTATATTTTTCACTTCAGGATTTGTTAACTTTGAACTCTTGCTCAAAGAAGATGCACCCTAATTCCCCCCTCTGGAATCTCACTAAATCCTGGGAGGAATGAATGACAAGGGACCGTTCTGAGGCATATGTCACTGGCTGGGTAATACTGGTTTTTAACTCCAAGAATCATCCAAGTGTCACTTGAAGGAAGGAAGACCATACCCTTTATCTTTTCTCATAAATGTAAGAGGTAAATTAAAGCCACTGGTAAGAATATGAAAGATAAATACTGACACTAAAGCAAAAATGGTTACTGGAACGGAGAGGAAGCTTGAGAAGACAAGGGATTAAAGAACTTGTGATAAACCTAGTCCCTTTTTTAGCAACTGTGCCACAGACAAACATTGGTTTGCTGGCGCCATTTTCCACTGACTGGATACAGTTTACTGCTAATTTTCCAGAAGTTGTCCTAAAACACCAGTCAGCCCAATGAACTCTTCTTGGCGCTTAATACCAGCACAGTAGGAATATTTACATCCCAGGAATCCATAAACAACTACTGATTGGGGGTTCTCCCGCCTGCAGGGAAGCAGCTGCTGCAATGTACTGGCACTCCACTGGGCAGAAGGAGTTGGGCCAGGAGTTAAGCCAGGCAGTAAACATGTTAGGCTTTGCATGCCAACTGGTCTGTGTGTCACACCGAGGCCTGGTGGGAAAGTGCCACAGACACGCTGAAGAAACACAATTTCACTTCCTGGAAACGAATATTTCACTTTCAGGCAATGTTTATTTTGCAGTTCTACATCTTTTTCAGCCTTTTCAAGTGTGAAGAAGGCATTGGTAGCTCACAGGGCCCACAAAAATAGGCAGTGGCCACACTGGCCTGAGAGCCTATGTAATCAACATCTGAGTTAGCCCAGAATGTTCTTTCTCTGGATGCAGTATAGAACTAGGCTTGGGATCATCTAGCCCAGCCTAAACACAGGACTTTTCTGAACCCTGCGGGCGAGGGGCCAATGATGTGTCAGGATGGCATTCTGCACTCATATGAAGCAGCTTTTGTTTATAAAGCCAGATTCTGTCTGTCTGTCTGTCTGTCTCTGTCTCTCTCTCTTTTTTACTAATAGGTGCTATGTTCTTATTTATATAACATGATCTGGCATTAAATAAATGTGGACAGAATAAACAATGTGATGGGTTAAAGGAATATTAAGTCATTTAAAAACAGCAAGAAACAGAAAGTCTGAGAACTTAAAACCTGGTGGAAGCAGGCAGGTAAATCAAAGTGACAGAATCAGGAAAGTGAAAAGCAGAAAGATCATTAGTTGTAAGAACATCAGTTTCTGATTCGGCATTTGTTCGCTGTATCAGACTGTAGGCGTATTTAAAAAGGGCAGGATGTATCCGTGCACCGACTCACCTGTGTGTTCATATTTATGTCTCAACAACGAGCTACTCTTCTGGAATATCTTATCACACAAGTCACATGCATACATTCCATTTTCTGTCTTTCGCATTTTCTTTTTGGGTGGCGTAGAATCAGAGTCATTCTGATCCTCTACGTTAGATACCCCCTCTGAGCTAGTGTCTTGCCTTTCATCCTAAAGGAAGAAGAGAATAAGAAAGTACAACTTAGCGTATAAACACGGGATGCAAATAAAAGCACAGGTTAAAGAGTGACTGACATACTTGCCATCTACCTGACCAAAGCAAGCACAGGGCTTAGCCCAGCAGCTCAGCTCCCAGGGCAGGGGGAAGCTCAGGGGAGAGGCTGGCCACAGATAAAAATAGAGGGGCTGGGTAATTCAGAGAAAACCAGAGTAAAAACACATGCTTAGTTGGCACTGGAAAGAAAGGATATAAAAAGAGTATAAAATGTACAAACAATTTACTGGTTTCATGTGAACTATTTTTACACGTGTGAAGTCTACAGAAAGTTTTTAACTGAGGAGTTTACAAATTAATCATTAATATATAATTGCATCATTTGTCTGGCTTTCACTAGGCAAAAATGAAGACTTTTTTTAAAGTGTCCTTCAGGGCTTGGTGTAATAGCCTCGGGGCTGAACACACGCCTTGCATGTCCCGGGATCCCAAATGGGCACCAGCGGTGTCCTAGCTGCTCCAATTACCATCCAGCTCGTGCCTGAGGCCTGGGAAAGCAGTAGAGGATGGCCCAAAGCTTTGGGATCTGGCACCCACGTGGGAGACCTGGAAGAAGCTCTTGGTTCCTGGCTTCAGATTAGCTTAGCTCTGGGCCTCTGTGGCTACTTGGAGAGTTAACTAGCAGACTGAAGATCTTTCTCTATGTCTCCTTCTCTCTGTAAATCTTACTTTGCAATAATAATAAATAAATCTTAAAAAATGTGGTTTTCAGATGATGGTTTTATCAGACAGACAGACTGCTTTACCACTTTTTTTTTAAATGTAGGACAGGCAAGTCAACATTTTTAAACAGGAATATCTGCTAGCCAAATGAATCTTTATAATTCTAGTAGAATTAAAAAAAAAACAGGCAATCACAGGAAGGTCATCTTGGCTAGAAGAGACTCCTGTTGACAGAATAATCCTGCAGAAACTTGTAGAATTAGGTCCCCTAAGAGTATGAGTCTTTTCCATAGTCTTCCATTCTACTGCGTTCAAACTTTGAAAGTCCACGGCTTTATCAGGCACGAGGGAGGCAGTTATTTGCCCAGATCATTTCTGAGCTGCCAATAGGTGCTGTCATAATTTAATTATTTTCATTGCTACTTAGTCTAGTCATAAGATTACATAGATGTTTTTGTATTCAAATGCACAGAAAGTATTCTACACACTAAAGTCTTAAATGAATTAACTGGTTATGCAAAAGCTATCACAATTATAAGAAACCAAAGTCAGAAGGATAACAAAAACAGCAAATGTGTATCTAAGCACAACACTGGGATTGTTGTAGCTGAAGCTGCTTAAGATATTTACACGAGAGCTCAGTTTTCTCTAGTATTCCTTTGACTCAACTGAAAGTTGACGGAACAGATGTGGAGATGTCAAAGTTAGTGACATGAGACAAGCCGAGGCAAGAGACATACAGTAGTCACATCAAACAGCTGTACTCCAAAGTACCATGATCTCTTACACCCCAAACCTGTCATGTCCATATTCTTAAAGGGCAAGTGCACATACAGAGTCACAGCCACACTTCCTCATACTAGTACTTACAGTTCAAAAACGATTGGCAAAGTCACTAGTTACTTGTATATGCAATTTAATTGAATGGAACTCTTGTAGAATGAGATATTGCTATGTAAGGAGTGAGAGCTAGTCTACCTGGTTCTGAAACGGCAGACAGGAATATCTGAGAGGTCTTCCAGAGGTTCTTGGCAATGTACATAATGTAAAACCACACATGGATTTCAAAATTTTTTTTACACCAACAGAAACTTATCTTTCCATAGCACTGCTCCATGAACTTCTAAGTGCTATTATATCTTCATTTGTTAATGATCATAATCAAGGCAGAAACTCTTAATAATTTGGGGAATTTAACCAGAAATAGCAATCCAATCAATGAGTATTCTAAGTTTCCTTTCAATTGTCATTTCAAACAGACCTTTAGCTGAGACTCACAACTCATTTTTAACTTAATCCTCACTTGATAGCACCACCTTGGATTAGTAACAAAAGACATCAACCATGCCACACAAATTAAAGCAAGCACTGATCCACTTCATTTTGAAAATGACAGTACGTATCAGCCTATTTGGCTCTACAGTGACATTTTTATCAGACAACTTCAACTGAAATCAGTCGAACTAGCATTTTATTTTACGGACTGCTTTGGGATGAGGATGTAATTTACCTGATTTCCATTTGGCTGGATGACTTTCAAGGGTGGCTCCTGGACGGCAGGGCTGACGGTGGCTGAGTACGTGTAAGCCACCTGGGGAATCAGAATAGTCTGCTTATTGGCAGCCAGTGCCCTTAAGCATGGAACACTGTTCTGGTCAGCGATGGCCACGATTGTGGGTAACTGGGCAGTGACTGTAGGTATAGCGATATTTATGGGGTTGGCACTTGGTGGGATTACACTTACAACTGGTTCTGAGTCTGTAGCACAACTGTCCTTTTGTGGCTCCTTTTTTGCACATGACAAGTTCAAGGGTTCCTCCTGGACAGAATAAACACTGTTCTGGTAAACACTGGTGATGGTTGGCCTTTCCAATAATTCTCCCTGTTGCTTTGGTAGTGAAAGATCAAGAGGTTCCACTTGGGGCTCTTCTGGTGCACCTTCCGCTGTGTAGGAGTAACCCTGTGAATTCTTGGCTGAGGAAAGGTTGAGAGGGGACGGGGGTGGGGTACTGCTTCTAGAACCATTGACGGCTGGTCCCGTGGGGGGAACCGGAGAGTCCGTCTTCTTCAGAGGACTCGGCAGACTTTGTGTGCCATCTTGGGCTTCATTTTCATTTGCAGGTTGAGGCTGATCCTCGGTCTTCACAGGGACATTGGCTCTGCCTGGTTCCGGAGAAGATGGTTCAGAAGACTGCACTGAAATCTGTCCAGCTTGCATCTTTTCAAACCACTTTTTCACCACGTCCAGTGGTAGGTTTACTGAATCTGCGATTTTTGAGAGCTCTTCTGCGCTCGGCTGGGCATTCAAAGCATAGTATGCTTTGAGAAGAGACAGGAGGTTCTTTAAAGGTGGGTGACTGGGAGACAAGCTGCCGTCTGCAGCGCCTGCTGGGACAGAGGTTTCGGCCTCCTCGGCTTCTGGGGCGGGGACCGGAGGAGGCTGTGCCGGCTGCTTCAGGTCATAGTGCTTGAGTTCCGGAAGTGCATTCAGCTCGCCTGGACAGTCGTCACACAGAAGGCAAGTGCTATCATTGGCTCCTCCTTCAAAGCTTTTGTCCTTCTCAGATTTGACAGTCAGATCTTCTGGCAACTTTTCAATTTTGCAGCTGTTTGTGGGGACTGGGTTTTCTTTTTTCAAATTTTGAGGAACAACCTGAAGTTGGCTGGGCTGCTCAAGGCTGTAGTTAATGATGATTTTGGTTGTTCCATCTTGATCAACCAAAGGAAGACTGATGGCAGAAATCACAGAATGGCCACCTTGTTGTATGGACGAAGCACTGATTGCTTCTTGTTCTTTGGATGCAAGATTGGCTTGATTATTTTCCAAAACTTGCCTTATTACATTACCGTCTACTGCCACTTTGAGTACATTCTGAATATCACTTAAATTGATACTGATGGGAGACACCAAACCAACTGTTGGCAGAACAACAGCTTGCACGACACCCTGAGGAGAACTGGTCGCCTGCAATGGGCCACCACCACTGAAAACCCCATTTTGTAAAGGGGCTGAACAGTTGATTCCTGAAGCAACCACAATGGGTTTGAATTCATAATCCACAGGTTCAGTTTTAATTTGGTTTACGGAAAGTTGTTCTTGAAGGGGTTTATTCTCTATCTTCTGCCGTATCTGTGGTCGGGTGGGACTGCCTGGGGATGCCGACAGAGACGGGGAGGAACACTGACTGGTCTTGATCCCTGCCCGTGGCCGCCCATTCACAGGCATCAAACTGATGCATTTCTTACTGCTTATGTGGGAGCTATAGGAACCAGAGTGGGAAAAACGTTTCTTGCAGTTTGGGCATTCATATGGCTTCTCTCCTAAACAAAAAGATTAAATTCATTCAATTATTACATGTAAACTTCTTCATATTCACATTTCCTTAAAATAAGCCACATCAACTTTAAAAAAAGAAGCTACATGCTTGTTTTTGATACAGTTAAGTAAAACTCATACTCAGATAACATAAATGTTTATAAACACCAGCAAAACCTCAGACTGAACTCCATGTGCTAATCAATCAGGGATCTTCTTAAGCATATATGTAAATATTTCCGCCAATATTTATAACCTTAAATACTTCTCACATACCAATATAATTACATTCTACTCTTAAGTGACTGGTTGGTTTTCCTGTTCACCATCTCTATAATGTTTTATACTTTATTTTATTCAGCCTGTAAGAAAACGTATCATTAGAAGAAAGAAAAGTAAAATAAAAAAGACTTAATAAGCATGAATATTTATTCTTCATCGATAACAAACTCCACATCTATAGTTTTCTTGATAAAATTTCCCATACCCACAAGGTTTCCTTGAAAGAAAGATTCCTTTGTAACACGAGATAAGGTTTTGCTGTAATCGAGGGCTTATTCAGCTGGAGCTGTGTATCCCCTGAGGCACAAGAGGGGTTTCAGTGGCAGTGGATATGGTAAAACATTAGTTTTCTATTAAAATATACTATACCATGCAGAAGAATGCAACTCTTGGGCAGATGGTTTGGGGCAGACAAGGTCAAAGTGGTTCATTGCCTGTGGAGGCGTCCCTGGAGCTATTGTCCCAGCGTCCCCAGGGGCATGCCTGTTAGGGATGCTCTCACACTAAGTCCTGGGGAGCACTGAACTCCATGAAATATTTTCATACAAAGCCCATTTTTTTCATTTCAGTTTTAAGTTGGAGCTCCAGCTCACTAATTTATATTAATAGGCTATAGGTTCTAAGAATCAAACAGATTGTGACCCTCTAGGTCTTATTTGTTATTTATTCCTGCACTTGTTATAGTACAAATCACAAAAATGCTCACTGAATCTTTTTTTTTTAAGATAACTGAATGGCTAATTGCAGGATTATAAGATGTTAATAATGATGCTTGGTCTGTTCAGCTATGGGGTGAGTCAGTCAAAAGAAACCTCATCATCTCCTTTAAGAATTAAAATGAAAACAGTTAAAAAGTCACTAGGAAGTCTGCTAATAGCATGGAGTTCAATGCTATTAAGTTAAAAACTTGATCTCTATTTTCTAAGAAATATGACTGATTAAAGAATCAGATGATTGGACTGGAGGGATACTAAGGAGCCCTCTAACCCAGGCTCCTTCTCGATGGAAGGTCCATTTCATGTCATCTTGGCCATCATCTGGTCCCCACTGCAGCCCTTTCAGTGAAAGATGACAGCCTCCCAGGAGTGTCTGAGTGTGGTTCTGCTGTGGCCCATGAGGCTGCTGCAGATTGCAGCTCCGTCACAGAATCATTTCTTAACCCTTCAAGCTTCAGTGTGTTGTTGGGCAAATATGGATGCATTCTCACTGGACTGTGGCTGGGGAAAGTTTACACATGATCACAGCACACAGCTCTACGTAGGCACTCAAGAAACTTTAGTGAACTTAGTACCAAGCAACTCTACTGAGAGACAGCTGGCTACCATGCCCGTCCTGTTTTCTCCAACTTTGATGTTGCACAGAACACATTGACCTTTCCTTCCACAAGCCAGCCTTTCAGACTGATGAAGAACTGTTCTCTTGTGTAGGTACAGCACAACTGGGTCCTTTGAGTGTTCCTCACAGCACAGTGTGTGGCTTTTAGAACCCTTACTGACTGGGAACCTCTCTGTGGATATCTCCAATTTACCAGGATCTTTCCAATGGGATGCCTGATATAGGGTTCAATGTTCAAAACGCATGGGCCAGCAGTTTCCAATGGGCAAAAAATAAGGGATATGCTCTATTACAACTTTGTTTTGACAATCTTAATTACTTTAGATGAGATACATGCTAATTTTCCTGCCAGAATCAGTAGGAAGACAAGTATTTATAATTCAGACTGTTTCATCTTTATAAATACAACAGTGATTTAACACACTAGTTTTGTAGTCACGGCACCCACATCAGAGATCCAGCTTTGCCATACACCAGCCAGACTCACTGAGCCTTTATTTTTTCATTTATAAAAAGGAAGGTACAATAGGGTTTACTGCATAGTGTCATTCTGAGAGCAATGTCAGTTAATACAAAGCAGGAATGAGCACATTGCTGTACGTGGTGCGCTAGCCCATAAGTGCTAAGGGATAGGAGTCTGGCCTAGTGGTTAACACACTGTGTCCCATGACAGTGTGCCTTGGTTTGATTTCCTTTGGGCCACCATGCAAGCCCAAGCAATTGGGTTCCTGCCATGCATGTGAGAGACCTGCCTGTCTTGAATTTCCACCTCCTGGTCCTTGTTGTGGGCCCAGCCCAGGCAATGGCAGGTACCTGGGCATGAGCCAGTCTATCTCTCAGATTAAACATCAGAACATTAATTATACTAAGTGTTATTATGGATAATTGGCCTTGACATATTATCGTTGCCAGAAAGAAAGCCTATAGAACAGTTGTTCTAAATCCAGAGTCATTGTATGAGAAAATTCCTACTTCTAACATCACAGCTTTATGGGCAATCTCTTCAGTATATCATCAAATTTACTTACCAGATTAGGATTAACAACTAATTTAGCTTGGAGGTTGTATTAGCAACTTTCACTACTCAAACTTACATTAACTCTGAATACCGAGTCTTTTTTTTTTTCTTTTAATGGCTGAGGTGGATGTTTGGTTGCATTTGATGTAAAACGTTTCCACATTTAACTTGCTAAGGCAATGTGATGAGCTTCAGGCCGCAGTCCTTAGGCTCTGGGTTCACCTGAGTGTGGGGTACAGTGATCTCAATACTCGACTCCTACATGCAGAATTCAAGTGACTGCTGACACGTCATTCTGCACAGGATTCATTAAAAAACGAGTATCAGGACACAGACACAGTCCGTGTCATCCCAGGAAGTCTAATTCTGGAGCTTGATCCTCAACATCTTTGAAAATCTTTTTTGAGGAATAAAAGCCTTAGAACTTTCCTATTCTGCAGTGGACTAAACAGTGCTGGTCAGTCTACACTGCTTTGTAGTTTTGTTTCTTATTTTAAATGTTCAATCCACTGAGGGCCAGTGTGGTGGTGTAGCAAGTTAATCCACCACCTGTGGCACTGGCATCCCATACAGGCACCAGTTCATGTCTCAGCTGTTTTATTTGCAAACCAGCTCCCTGCTTGTGGTCTGTAGAAGCAATAAAGGATGGCCCATAACCTTGAGACCTTCATCCACATGGGAAATCCAGAAAAAGCTCCTGGCTTCAAATCAGCTTAGCTCTGGCCATTAAGGAAGTAAAACAGTGGACAGAAGACCTCTCTCTGTCTTGTCTTTTTCTCCACATTTATTTAATGTCAGCCTTACTTTCTCAGTGTTTCACATATAGTTTTAAGTTAGCAAGTTGTGTTCAAAGTACGTAAGCCTTGTACTTTAACACCCTGAAAAAGATGAGCCTCTCAATGTACAGTTGAGTGGCAGGTCTGGGGACAGGGCCTTCTGTGTCCAGAAACACAGGCAGGTCTTGGGACAACGCCCAGCTGCACACTACCTTTCTCAGCAGCAGCAGAGCCCAGTCAGTCACAGGAAGTACACATTTCCTACTTAGACTAGTTGTGAATTTCAATGTAAGACTTCACCAATGCATTTCTGCTTGTTTCCTGACCAGTATTTTTATCTGGCATGTTCTTTATTTCTTGGTATCACCTAATATATCCTCTTCAAATGACCATAACACAGCAAGATGCATACGACATCACTTCATAATATGAATCTTATTCCTGGGCTTGTTTTCCTTTGTCTACCCCAATTTCAGCATCTTTAAAAACATTCTTTGAATTACCTGTGTCTCTATCAAGAGCTTAAGTTGTTCCTAGTAGAAGACAGCTTATTAAAAATACATTGTTACTGGTACAAATTGTTTACCAGTACAGGAGCTAAGAAGCACGATGCTGCAGTATGTTTTAAAAGATATCCGCTACTGTTCAGAAACAATGTGAAGTCTTCATTTAAGAATCTTAGTTTAAACATGTTCAAGTGGAAACATTAGCATATTTATCTTTGGGTTTACTTCAGTGAGTACTGTGGTAAAACTTCCAGAAATGCAGTTCCAAAATGCAACATAGGAATCACCAACCACTCCTTGCAAAGCCACCTAACCCTACAATTTTTTTTGTAGGAAGATGTTTATGAAACGTAAATGTCAATACAGTAATTTTCACAAAATAAGCAATGTGCAAATACTCATAACTTCCCATTCACTGGCTAATAGTTTACTTTCAAGATGATTATTCAAATCTAAAATAACATCAAAATTAATCAGGACATGAACACATTTCTTAGTGTAATGTGAGATGCTACAACATAGTTTTTTTTAATGAGCTTTTGTTCATGTAAAGAAATGCAAATATACGAGTAGTTTCTTTGCTTCCCATTCTTCTAAGACAGACAATACTTTCATCAAATAATGCCTATTTTGTAAGTGATGATTAAGGAATGGAAAGGTAAGGCTACCAACACATTTTCTTTTAAGTCCTCAGTCACTTCGCAGCTCTCGACACTCTCTTCACATTACCTCCCACCGTGTTTTGAGTTCCATTTCTAATTTTTCTCACACAAAGGATATTTCTGCCATCCTGCCACTCCGTGTTGCAAAATGCATCTCTATACTCTTACATTCCCTCCTGAGTTGTGTGAAAGGTACAATACAAAATGAATATCCCCCAGGAAGCTAACTTGTTCTTAGGATGCATTTGTTAGAATGTATTATCTTCTGATTAGGAAATCTGGATTATGCCATATCATGTTAATTTGATATATTTTGGCCAAAGAGAAGGAGTTTAATAAAACATTATGTATGAAGAGAAAGTTTCTATATATTAGACTTTATCCTAAAATAAAAGCAAGAAGTTTTTGATCAGACATAGAGATCACATTATTATTTATTACCACATATGCTAGGATGCTCAGGGTGTAGAAAGATAAGATATTTACCGCTGTGAATTCTTAAGTGCTCTTTTAGGTGGTGCTTGTATTTGAAAGCTTTTCCACATTCAGTGCACTTGAATTTACGATTACCCCCAGACTGTGTCACATGTCTCTGTAAGAAAGAATCGGTATTTTATTTTTGAATTAAAAGAACTTCAGACATAAAGAACATCCAGTCTGCTCAAAGTCATGTTTTGGATGAGTATGATGAGAGTGTTGCTTTTTTAAGGCTTCAGACAGCAGTCACAAAAATCCATGGTAATTCCGACATGGAGGAAGTGGGCATTTCCTGCGCCTCCCACCTGATGATGCGGGTTCAGTGTTTCCGCTTCCTCTAATGCAGACTTTGGGAGGCAGTGGTGACGGCTTAAGGAACTGGGTTTCTCTCCCTCATGTGGGGCACCTGGATTGAGTTCCACACTCATGGCCTTGCCCTGACCTACCAAACATTGGGATATTATGTCTATTTGAACAGTGAATCAATGGTTGGAAACTCTTTTTCACCGTCTTTCAAAAATAATGTTATGAATAAATTAAAACTTGAAATGTAGAAAATTCATAATTTGCTTCCAAAACAGAAAATGGAATCAAAAGATACAAAAATTAAAATTTGAAGATCTCTTATATAGTACTTAACAAAAAATGTGCTTTATAATGGACTTAAGATTACTTTTGCTTACATTTTAATTTATAGATAAAGAGAATGAATGTAAGAATATGTATTCATATGTTTACAGAACAGTTACTCAAAAACAAAACTAACCCCCTAAAACAATGTCATTACTGGAAGGCCAGTCTCTTTCCATATTATAATTATTTCTTTTATGTTTGACATCTCTAACATGTAGTGTAATGTGATGATTCAAAAAACATGTTTCCATCTTTTCTGTCAAATTAGAATATTACAATGACTCATATTTCTGGTTCACTGAACTCACATTCTTATACATTTCAAATATGTTGTGCATACTTATGAATGGCTCAAAATACACAAAGAGTTCTTACAGCATTAAAGGAAAATATGTAATGTGCAAAAGCTATGCATGGATTGAAAGATTTTGTGGGGTGGGAGGTCACCAAAATGATACTAACTTGATACGACCTGCCCAAGTAGGATCTAGTTTGAGGCACTAGAAGGAGAACACATCAATTTGAAAAGGTCTTCTATTTGAACAATATGAGTTTTACTAAAATTGAAGCAAGATAAAACACAAATCTCTGGTGAAATCAGGACAAAAGAATGGTGAAATCACCGCAGTCTCATGGAAAGTTTGTAGGGACTTAAAGACATCAGCAATGCACAAACCAATGGCTTGTTTTGAGAAGGGCTAGGACAAATCTTAAGATTAGCCTGCAGCTGCGGACCATGTATGTTGATTTGTGAGAAGATCAATTTTTCTCATGCCCTAAGGAAGACTGATGATTATCAGGAGAAATAACATGCCCATTGGTTCAGCCCACACTATTGTGACTGAAAAATTAAAGGGGACCCACTTTCTGCCTGGGGAGTACCAAGACTGCAGCTTTAGACTGAGCTTCCCATGAGAATTTTAAACTGTGGGATCAGGATCCTGAGGCCTATCTTCTAAAAATTACAACAGCAGACGAGACATGGCTTTACCGATGTGATTCTGAAGATAAAGCACAAGCAAACAAATGGCTACTAAGAAGAGAAAATGGTCCAAAGCAAAAAAGGGCCAGTCCTGGCAAAGGTCATGGTCATGATTTTGGGGGATGCTTGAGCCATTCTGCCTGTTGGCTTTCTGAGGGACCAGAGAACACTAACTCATTAGAAGGGTGTCTTGAGAAAGTGAGTCAAAATTGTACCAGCAAAGCTGCCCCAGAGCTTTGCTGTTTGGCACTGCTGTTGCCCTAGGGCAATGCTCCCACTCACTCCGTGCATGAAACACAGATAACTCTACAAGAGTCTTTCTGGGAAATTGTTAGGTACCCACTTCACAATCAGTGTTTCGCTCTTCCTGATCTCTTTGTGTTTCTCAATCTTAAAAGTATCTGTAAAAGGTACTCATTTTTCTTCAGTTGAAAGGACACCCTCGAAAAAGGACAGTGTTGACATAGCCAAATTCCAGGACACTTAGTTCTTCAGAATGAACCACATGGTTGTATCAAATACCTTAGAGAAGTACCTTGAACTTGACAGAGCCTAACTCGAGAAGTTAAATCTCTAATTTTCACCTCTCAATTTCATTCTCTGCGGTCCTTTGTGTAGTTCCTTTAGACTCATATCCATTTCTGCTAAAAATCTCTAAAGGCTCCTTATTCATTCCTGACTGAAGATTCAAGTCTGTAGACCCCAGAATCACAGCTTCTGCATATCCCCCAGTTTTTTTCCAGCTGTTAGATGTACACCTGAGGAGTTTCCCATGCAAGTCTCCCTGCCAGCCTAGCCTTTTGCCTTGCACTTGGCTGTATCTTTCCTTTCCTCGTATTGTGAGGATTCACCCCTTATTCAAAGGCTTCACTCCAGGACTCCCTGCTTGGGGCTCACCTTAGCTCTGTTTGCCCTTTATCTGTCTTGAGGAAAGAATGGAAGAGTAGTTATGGAGGATCAAGTCCTTTTTCATCCAAATGTACATTCAAAAAATTATATGAAAATTGAGTTCACAGAAAAAAGTCAAAATTCTAAATTATTACAGCATACAACATTCCTTAGTAAAAGGGAAAACATCATAGCAGCGATTTCTGAGATGAATTAGTCACTGGTTCAAATAAAATTAAAATTCTTCATATGACTTTCTTCAGTTTGGTTGCTTGTATTAAGTCATGTGGTTTCTAGTAATTGCTATTTATTTTTCCTATGGTTTATATTTTAGCAGGATGCAATATAAAATCTTGGAGAAAAATATTCATTGTGGCGTAAGCAAAACAACTAATTCAGGATAAAAGGATTTGGTTTGAAAAAGGAAACAAAAAATCTTAGATACCTCTAAACTAATGTTGTTCATATATGCTTTTAAACTCTGAGACGCCCTTGTAATTCAAACAAATAACCACTTTCATTTTATAATGCTACATGAAAAGCAGTGTGCAGTACATCCTTTGGCTTTTAAAATCCCTGCCTTCCTGGAGAGCTGGAGAGCTGAGTTCTCAAGGACAAATTAGCGAACAACCACGGCACTTACCTGATCTCGCCCCGATTTGTGTGACGTCATGTGACGTTCAAGCTGGGTTCTGTAGGCGAAGGTGTAACTGCACAGGGAGCAACTGAAGTTGTCTTCGTTCTTTTCATGGCGATACTTAATGTGTTCTTTCAGAGAGGTAAAGCGTTTGTAGCCTCTATCACAATATGGGCAGGTGAGCAACTGGGAGAATGCATCCGGTGTTCCTGTAAGACAAAGATTATTTAATGTAAATATTGCTGAAGTTACCATGGGATCTCTATGCTGTGTGCCAGCTATTTTGCCATATACGATATATTTGATTGTCAAATGATGACAGTGGCATGAGTCTCAGAAAGGTTAAACAACCTGAAAATCAGCCAGTAACTGATGAGGTCAAGATTCAGACATAGTCTGTATGCATTTTAAGTCTTCTCTCTTTTTGTCTAACCTGTAATTTCTGCCCTTCTATGGTACGGTCATCAAGACAAAGAAAATAAAAATGACAATGCAGAGAACATATATGACTATATGGGGAAATGAGTTCTACAGAAGAATCTACAGCTAATGGTTGCATCATGATGTATTTAATGCTTGTTCTTTTGAAGTTGAAAAAGGCATTATATAGGGTTGCTGCTAAAAACAGAGTAAGCAGTACAGTTAGACTGTTTCCAAAACTCACTTGCACTTGGCTGTAAGTATATTACTAACTCAGGCCAAAAAGGATGTGTACCAGGCAGACAAGGAGGACGAGTGACTGGGTCACATCTCGCCTTGGCCATAAAGACCTTCCATGTATAGACTTCCTTTATTGAAACATGCTGACAATTTTTCAAAAACACACTTACAAATAACTTTCCAAAAACTGAATTAACTGTGGGTGGTTCAGAGTTTATCAAATGAACCTTATTTTTATAATGTAAGCAGATAACCCTAAAACGTAACATTTTCCAACTCATTATACTATATTAGATTTACTAAACTTTACATTGTAGCTAGGAATATAGCTTCCCATATTTGATTTATTTCTCCAAAGTAAGAGTTCCAAAGTGATATTGTCAATATCACCTTTACTTTACTTGAAAATACACAAAAATGGGAAAAAAACAAAGAAAATGTCTTCATAACACAATGTCTCAGAACCAAATTACATGTACCTCATGGAAACTCAATCTCTTTAAGTATTGGGCTCAAGGATTCGCCTGCCTACAAATAATGGACTGTGTACCTGAAATCTAAAGAGTTAATGAAATGAATTGTGTATCTGGGGGTTGGAACTGTGGTACAACAGATGAAGCTGCTACATACAAGGTGAACATCACACATGGGTGTCCTACTGCTCCACTTCAGATCCTACAAGCTGCTAGTGGCCTAGGAAAAGTAGCAGAAGATGCCCATGTGTTTAGGTCTCTGCCATCCATGTTCAAGTCCTGGAAAGCTCCTGGTTCCTGGCTTCAGCCTGGTCTAGCATTGGCCATCCAGGGAATGAATCAGTGGATGGAAGATCTCTCTCTCTCTCTCTCTCTGTAATTCTAACAAACAAACAATTTTGAAAGGGAAATATGTACCAAATAGGAATAAAAGATCAACCAACTGAAGCTCCAAAATTTATGATGTAATCTTTTACTACCAGTAAGCCAGAAGCTTTTCTGTTGAAGAGGACTCTAACAAGATCTTCTTTTTTGGGGTAGAAATCAAGTTTACAGTTTGTCTAGTAGGCATTTTTCTTTTCGTTCAGGCTAGTGGGAAATGAACACGTGGGACCTTTTCTTGCCACAGTGCCTGATTCATCATATTGACTTTAGGTGTTTATGACGGAGTCAAAATCTGCTCTGTGGGCACTTTGTTACTGGCCCCGTGATGTCCAGGTGGTTTTTCCTCATCAATTGCACCTACTCTACAGGGTCACAGAGCTGTCTACTCTCACGATGCTCTATTTTGTTACCATCATGATTATGCCTTGGCTTTAACAGATATTAATAATTTTATAAAATGATAGGTTGCTCATGATGTTTTAACAGAAAGCTACTTTCATAAATTAATATTTATTGTCCTTTCTCTGACATGTGAGAAATGAAGTCCTTGTTTTGGGTCACTAATATGAAACAATAAAAAATAAACCCAAATATTTGGCATAATAAGCACAGAATAAAAGGGTTTCCTTTCTATTTCTGAAAATTGGATTTTTTTCTTTTTGCATTGAAAGTTTGTCAGGCAGGTAAAAAAACAACACTTGTATTTGTAGTTCTGCAAGCTGCTGAAGTCAAGTTTGTTAATTCACAGCTCAGGAGGAAAGAGTGCGAGAGGGCATGTTTAATCTACTAAAAATTCAAACACTTGAGGGCTCCTGAAGAGAACCACTTTTTCTATGTTCATAGATGTTGCTGGTATGATACAATATCTACTCTGGAAACTTTATTAGCATTTACTAAAATGACAAGTTATTTATGTAATGAGTAGCTGAATAGTCTATAATTCAGATGAATTCAGAAGAATTAGCTCCCCACACAGTATGAAACTTTGCTGTTGATTATGATCAACTTGGTAAGATTTAACCTTGTTAGATCTATGCAATGGGGCCATTTTTCTGGTCTTTTTCAGGCTTTCTGATTTTTGTTGCAAAAAAGATTATATATGCAATATTTTTCAATTCTCTGCGTCCCACTCATTTATATTATAGTCCATTGTTCCTTTAAGTAATATGATATACACATTTTCTTTAGAAGAAAGAAAAACTTAAGAAATTGAAAGAAGGGCCAGCATTGTGGTGTAGCATGATATGCTTCCACTTGCAAAGCTGGCACCCCTTTTGGGCACCAGTTCTAGTCTTGGTTGCTTCACTTTTGATCCAGCTTCTTACCAATGTGCCTGGGAAAGCAGTGGAAGGAAGACAGCTCAAGTGCTCAGGCCGCTATAACCACGTGGGAGAGGCTCTAGCTTCATGGCTTCTGTTTGGCCCAGCCGCATTGTGGCCATTTTGGGAGTGAACCAGCACATAGAAAATCAATGCCTGTCTCTCTCTGTCTCTTTCTCCAGTCTCTGATGGTCTGCTTTTCAAAAAAAAATCAATCTTTAAAAAAGTAAATTAAAGTTGATAAGGTAGGGCTTTGAATCATTACAGGCCAGTAACTATGACACCTCAAAATGTTCAAATACATCAACAGTCACTGGCGTTTCTGCCAAAATGTAGTGTCCCCAGGGGCCACAATCTAGTCTCTAGAATCTGTTCCTTTACCATGTGGGGGGATAGTCTTAGAGTGACCTTTCTGCTCAAATGCCCTTTGTCACTGATTTAGTTACAGAAAACCTCTGTCATCCCTGCTTTCTTTGGCAGCTGCTTCATGATTCTAGATGACTCCTAGCACCTGCCTGAACTTCAGAGTTGATGCTGTGAATACTGAGCTCAGTCTATCTACTCTGCCTGGAACCCTGGAAAATCAAACCCAAGGTAGGACCTTAATGCTTCAAGAGTCCTTAAGACATTTCAAGAGACTTCATGGCCATGGGGCAGATCTCAAATATAGTTTCTTACAGGAACATTTGTTGTTAGTGCTTGAAAGGGCAGAATGACAACCTATTTCTTTTCAAGCCTGCCTGAGCATACTGGTTTGGTTTTTGCTTTGCATTTTCTCCAGTCACTACCTACTGACACTTCTATCGTATGAGAGCAGACTAGAGCAAACATATAAACATATCAGTGTCTGCAGATTAGTGCGTTTCGAACAAGACAGCTATGCTTTGCTTGTTAGCAAGTAGGCAGTAAGCCGTCCTCATTCTCACCACCACTGCCTGATGCATGTAAGTTACAGACACTGTTCTCAGAGTTTAACATGTGGTGGCACTGCCACTACATACATGAGCAGCTAAAGCACTAAGCTCGTATTGTTATCAAGGACAACGACTGATGGGATGGATAGTTCTCTACAGCCACCTGTGAACAGCTCCAGTTCTCCAGAGTGTTCCTTGTAGTAGAGTAACAGACGTGACAATCTCCCACAGAGGAACAACTGCTAAGCCCGTTTACCGTTTTCATCTTGACCACTGGCTTCTGGCGTCCCCTGCCTCTGGTCTTCTTCAGGCGCCTCAGGATAAATGACGGCTGTATCTTGTTGTTGCAGGAACTCTTCAACATTAGGATCGTGGTTTTGTTCATTTTCTGCATCTGAGTCACATTCATCATCTTTTACTGGAAGAAATGAACACCTTATATGAAACAATTTCACTGCCAAGTTGCGACAAAACTTTTCAAAATAAGAAACCATTTTGGCAGAACACATGATTGCTCTTCAATTTGTAGAACATACTGAAAAGTAAATGAATTCTACTCATTTTGTTTTGTTTCTTTAAAAAGTTATTTTGCCTTGTACATTTTTAATTTATTAAATGCATGACATCCTCATCAAATCTCCTTTAGGCTTCCACAAGCCATACTTCTACTTCATTCTCTTAGTAATGCAGAGAAAGTAATACATTTGACTGAATTCTTTGCTTCTCAATAATAAAATAAGGAAAAATGAAGACTTTAGTTTGTAAGGACCACCCATCTATTATCACAACAATTATTTAAACCTTAAAGTCTGAATCATCACCAAATAAAGCATTCTCATATTCAGTCCAGTTGTGTGATTCCTTAGATAACAGCTTTAGTAACTATCTCCAGGCATAAATGTTTCTAATAAGAGTGACAGGTATCAAGCCATTAAAACTGCTTCTTACTTCCTCTTGCTTTTCAAGCACAAACAATAATTATTTCTGTATTTCTGCCTCAATAAATATGTAGCCACAGGATTAAGGGTGAGGTCATTCTTCTTGAGTTATAAAGATTCCAGAGCTCAGAGCTTCCTTCTGAGATGGCAGTTCCAGTTCCCAGGTTGATCGCTGTGCTGCATCAGCTAAACAGATAGGTTCCTCCATCTATCTATTATGTAGATACAGGGTTTTGTCTCAGAGGGTAAAAATCTCTAGATGTCAAAGGAGACATCTCTAGATGTCAAACTACAAAATACTTTCAACGGTGGGGTAGGAAAGGATGTCTTTATTGACTCAATGAAGGCTACAGGAGACTGCTACAAGTATCCTAGCTTCCTGTTTACATGGATTTCTAGTAGGTGGAAAACTTGGTAATTATAATGGGGATATTTGGTGCCTAACGGGGAAGCAGAATTCAACTACATAATAATATGGCTAGGGGAATAATTTTCGTTTAATGGGCTCACCTGTTCCACTCTGTAACTATTGTTAGAAAATTCTTGCTCCTCAGGAGGTTGATGAGTGCAAAACAAAGAACACATTCAGAGGTCACTCACCATTGCTTGTTCTAAAACAGTCTGAACAACAAGTACCTTTGCATACAGTACTAGGAGTAACAATGCATCTTTCTAATGTAATTTCAATTTGTCAAACGAGGATAACACCCGTCAGTGAAATGTACATTTTATGAGATTTCTTATAGACTCCGTGCAGATTCAAAAAAAGACATCATAAGATTAATTTCAATTAAGCAATCTCTATCTTATGCTAAGATTTTCCTTATTGTAGGAATAAGGCATATGATTTTAAAGTAGCATACGTGTTTTACAATTTGTCTGATTTTGATACATTAATTTTGCTTTCTCAATAAGTTAGAAGCTTACCTATACACTGAGCTAGTTCTAAGTGCACTCACTTCAAATATATGATAAAAATTAGATCTATACCATCTTAACTTTGACTTGACTACTGACTAATCTATCTTCATAAGATGCTTTTATTTACATCTTATATATTCATTGTAATTTATAAACAGGTATATTTCAGAAAGTTTGTGAAAAAGTCAGGATAATTTTATTTTCATGCAATTTTGTGGAAAAAATGTTGAAATCCATGCATACTTCATGAGAAACATTGTCTATAAACTTCTTGAAGACCCCTGGTAAGCATGGATTTCAGAAATTTTTTGCATCAAAAGTAAACTTTAAGTTCTCTTTTCCATAAACTTTTTGAGGTATCTGCATTCTTCGTATACCTCCTTTCTGAAGACATAACATTTCTAAACGGTCATTTACTTCACTTTGGAAAAAGACACTCCTTTTTCCCTTTGTTGACAGAAACTGATTAGATTGACCAACATGACAGTAATAATGGGCTTTGAGAATTATGTTTTTGGGTAGAACTCTTCCAGAAATTTGGTAAACTACTGATCAATAGAAATTTATTGCCAATATGTTAGCAAAAGATGCTGAAATTAGTCATATTTAAAGGTTTCCACCCATTTCTGAATTATATAAATATTATATGCATCTTTATTAGGAATAAAAAAAAACTCACAAAACAGTTATCATTCATTGATTTTTGATAAGTAAGTACTGGCAAAGCCTTTCTGATACATGTTCAAGAAAATGTAGGACCAAGTAATTATCTGATTCTAATGTCTGGGAAACAAACTCTTCTGTAAATTAGGTACTTCCTACATTTTTGTTTTCAAACAAATTGGAGGACTTCTTGCCTGAATATCACTTAGCATGGCACGAAAACATTTTTTATTGATAATCACAACTCTTGATATGTAAATATTTCATTGATTGACATTAACCACTGTCATATAATTTTGAAGCTGTATAAAGAATTTAGTGACCCAGACGTAACAAAAAATTATTTGCTCTTTTCATTTTAGAATAAGATTTTTAAATGCCAAACAATAATATCAAAACAGAATTAATGTTCAACACTTTTCTTTCTCAAAGTAAAAGTAACACAAAGCTATTGATACATGAAGTAACTCAAATATGTTTCAGCTCAAAAACATTTCCAGTAACATTTTAATAATTATTAAAATTTAAAAATGTGTATATTATGATCAACTGTGGACTACTAAAAAGTAATAAATCAATACATAGTTTATTTAAACTTTTAAGATATTTTTGGTCCCTGGGAATTGAAGGCAAATTTAGATTTTAATTTGTATACATATCTTCTCATAAGGAAATACGCAGTTGATCAAAAATGCCTTTAGCCAGGCAATACATGATGTTAGCATATGATTCCTTGGGATATATGGAATAAAAGTAAGAGCCCAAGTAGCAATAAGCATTGTGACAACACCTTACAGAAGAGCTTATTTGTATCTTTAAAAAATGACTAGTAGTAATAAATTGCTGTGGATTTCACATATAAGAATGATGCCAATGATTTTAATACATCAGAAATTATTCATAATTACTCACAAATGAAATGAAAAATGCCTTGCCCATTAAGAACACTGTGAAGCAGTACATAACCAGTTTACACATTAACATTTTTGAGTGATAGGAGCCGTATATCTTAAGGTTTTTATAAGGAGTACATTAATAATGTTCTTATTAATGTTGTACTTGGTATTTATTGATGTTATGTTAACTGTCAGCTATTTTCCTTAACGCTACCTTGCATGGACCACATCATTATATCACAATCAAATATTATCTCAACAAAGAAATAGAATTAAGAAGGTTAGCTCTTCCAAGATCACACAGGGAACAAGTACTTTTGTAGAGCACACAATTTCCTATTAGGAGACTGCTGTCAAACCCGAGGCTCCTTCCACTGAACTACAATGTACACGAAGCAGCACTTAACAAACCAAACTTAAGGCTGACAACTGGAATTCTGTAGTTTTATCCATAAGATACAAAGTATTACATAGCACAGATTGTAACCATATCAATTTTAAAGCAAGTTTAAAAATAAAGCAAATTAAAAAAAATTTAAACTTGATAAACTGGGGTCAGCATTGTGGCACAGTGGGTAAAGCTACCATCGTAGACATTAACATTCCATATAGGTCCTGGTTCATGCCTGAGTTGATCCACTTTCCACCAGGCTCTTTGATAACAGCCTGGGAAAAAGCAGTGAAAGATGGAAGATGGTCGAAGTGTTTGGAGACTTGGAGGAAGTTCCTGATTCCTGCCTTTGGCCTAGCCCAGCCTTGGTCATGGCATCCATCTGCGGATGGAATATCTCTCCTTCTCCCTCCATCTCTTCTCTGTAACTGACTTGTTAATAAACAAATAAATATAAAAAAACTGGTAACACTCATGTTCATGTTAGAGATAAGCAAGCATAGGGAAACACATGATGATAATTTAGCTTTCTTTTAGACATGACAAAACTCTAAACTCTGAATCATTAGGACTATAATTACTTGTCAAAGGGTAGAATTTATAGCACTGCAACCATAAGTTATAGATGTTAAATATTTAATATAAAGATGAATTTTTTTAGCTGGAAGTATTTTTATAGGAGTTCACTTCAAAAAGTTTGTGGTTGGATCAGACTGTGGTAAGGCAGGTTAAGTCACTGCTTGTAACACCTGCATCCCATGTACTGGAGTTCAGTTTGAATGTTGGTGGTTCCTCTTCCCATCCAGCTTCTTACCAATGCACATGGGAAGACATAAGAGAACAGCCCAACCCTAAAATCCATGAAGGAAACCAGGATAGAGTTTCAGGTTTCTGGCTTCAGTCTGGCTTTGACCTGACTGTTGCGTTATTTTTTTTCTCTCTCCCCAATTCTTTTAAATAAATAAGCAGATAAATAAATGCATACATAATTAATGCCTTTTTAAAGTTTGTGAAAAATGGAATTAGAAGATGTTTATTTTGGTGCAGAAGTTTTTGAAATGGACCTATGAAGGATCTTCAAAAAGTTTATGAAAAATACAAAATAAAAAATTATGCACATAGTTTCAAAATTTTTGTACCAGCACAAACATATTTTAAATTCATTTTTCCAAGAACATTTTTTTGGGAAACACACATAGAGAAACTGAGAGAGTGATTATCTGCAGGTTCACTCTTTGAAGGCCCACAATGGTCAGGGTTGAGCTGGGGTCAGATCTGAGGGCTCAGAACTCATCCTAGGTCTCCCACATGGGCTGCAGGAATGCAGTTCCTTAAGTCACCACCTCTGCCCCCTTCCGATCTGCAACAGCAGGGACTCAGAAGCTGGGACTGAGAAATAAACTGAGGCACTCCAATGTGGCAGGTACGCATCTTAACCATTAGGATAAATCTCTGTTTCCCACATGAACTTATAATGTCTGCATATTTTTCTTTCCAGGGTAAAATACTCTTTACTCTTTGTAAAATTATATTTAAAACAAGATATGTTCAGAAGCCATGGAAGATGTTATGTGCCCCATTCAGAATACTAAGCTCAGGCTGCAACTCT